ACTAGGGTTTAAGCTTGATTCATGATTTACTTATTATTACATCTTTACAAGTTGCTTGCATGTTGAGTATATCCCATCGATTTGTGATTAATGTAAATCCCCGTAAGGCATTTTATGAGCGCCCATCGTAGATCTGCAGATAGAGGGGGTTATTTATAAACTTTCCCAGCTCGTTTCACTTTGTAAAGTACGGTATTTTTGGATACAGACCCCCCTGTCAATGAAGTCTGCATGCACAGCTAGACTGACCTCGGCAAATTGTCCCTGAGAAGATTTGCTTGCGAAAGAGCTTGCGAATCATTTTCACATCACCATTCATTAAGTGTGTCATTCTGTCGCATATCATTAAATGTTAAATTCAGTGTGGTGCTTGAAATAATTTTGTATTACGTCTAAAACTAATTAGTCACATTGTTGTTAAGATGAATTTTAATCTCTGTGTTTGGCTACATTTCTGCTCTGTGTCAGGTCACTCTCACTCTCATTAACTGTCACTCACATACACACTCACTAACTCGCTCACGCACTCACCGACGCAGAACAAAAGACACTGAAACCTTCATTAATATGGTTTGCTGCTGTCGCAGTTGCAGGCGAAAGATCTATGACGCATCTCTTTGCCTGCGATTTTGTCAATTGTGATGTGTGACTTGTACATGTTACCTTCACATTGTTGCATCTTTTCTTTCTGTAAGGAAGTTTGTCATTCAAGATAGGACGCAACAACTCTTCCTTCCTTATAGTTATGCATAATGCTTATCTCTTGTAGTTCTCACCTCCATCTATCCTGAGACAATTGCAACTCAAGCAAGTCCTTGCAGACTATTGCAATTGTCTCCCTAACCATGTCGCCCTGTCTCTATCTCTTGACAGTTTAGTCCTTTAACTTTGTGAAACACAAAATGAAAAAATTAAAGACGAAAATAACGAAAATTCGATCATAAAAACTTAACACCCCCTCTTCTCTGTTGTCTCTCTGTTGTCTTTCTTTTCTCTTACTATCTTGGCCCTTATGTGTATAATCTGGTTCACGATATCTGACACAGCACTGAAGTAGGCCCTGCTGCAGAAATGGTCACCTTCAGACGTCATGGTAAAACGTCACCGGAAGATCGCCAGAAGCCTGGAGACCAGGATGTTCGTCAGAGCAGGTATCAAGCCACCCCATTAAGTGGAAGGGTGCCGCCTGCCTGGATGCCCGTAGATCCAGTGAAGGACCAGGAACTCGCCAGTGCAGGTACCAGTCGTCCCATGATGCTGTGGACAGGCGCCGCCTGCCTGGATGCTGCAGATCCAGTCAAACTCCAGGAGTTCGTCAGCGCAGGTATCAGCCGCCCTGACATGCCGAAGAGGATGCTCCCTGCTGGATGCCCGTAGATCGCAACGATGATTACGAGGATGTCTGTACGAGCGCGCATCCGAGAAGGACCTGGACGAGATCTGCGAAGATGTGCTTTGGGCGAGTAAGCCGCTGAGTTAAGCCTGGACGAGGACTACGAGGAAGGCTGGACGAATCTGAAGTCAAGAAGGACCTGTGCAAGACTTTCCAGGACGTGTGGATGTCGAGGATGGACAGATTTACCAAGGACCAAGATGACGACAAAGACAAGCAGCCACAAAGATGCACCAGGGACACCACACGCTAGATCGAGGACTAGCAAGTCAGGACTAGCCAGGTTGAGTCACCCCTGAGGCAAGTCTAAGGCACCTCGAGGGCGAGGTGTTAGTATGTGGCTGAGCAATATACAGTGTACACAAGCATGTACAGGCCATGTGGCAGTTCGCTGGCCACGTGGTCGCCCCCTACACCAATTCTGGTCATGCCTCGAGTGGTGTGCCTACGCAGTTGGACGCTCCTTCGCCCCCAAGCGCACGTCACGGATATTTAAGGCCCGAGTTTGACCTGGTCAGCAGAGTCAATTGCCCGCTGCTTTCAGGTCAAGTTAGGTCCTGAGCCTTAGGGCTTCAGGTGGTCACTACCAACTCGCTGGGCTGACCGCCGTGACCTTCCCGAGACCCACGCTTTTACTCAAGAGTGTCTCGTGTGTGTACTTATTTCTGTGTTGCTTATAGTCTTAGAGTCAAAGTAATCGTCTCCTATTACTACTCCTGCAGCCAATTTGAGGTCAATTAATAGTCTTTACACTCTCTCTCTCTCTCTCTCTCTCTCTCTCTCTCTCTCTCTCTCTCTCTCTCTCTCTCTCTCTCTCTCTCTCTCTCTCTCTCTCTCTCTCTCTCTCTCCCTCCCTTCCCCCTCCCCCTCCCTTACTCCCTTTCCCTCTCCCTCTCCCTCCCTCCCTCTCCCTCCCTCTCCCTCCCTCTCCCTCCCTCCTTCCCTCCTTCTGTCTCTCTCTCTCTCTCTCTCTCTCTCACTCTTTCTCACTCTCACTCTCACTCTCTCTCTCTCTCTCTCTCTCTCACTCTTTCTCACTCTCACTCTCACTCTCTCTCTCTCTCTCTCTCTCTCTCTCTCTCTCTCTCTCTCTCTCTCTCTCTCTCTCTCTCTCTCTCTCTCTCTCTCTCTCTCTCTCTCTCTCTCTCTCTCCTCTCTCCCTCTCTCCCCCCCCCCCTCCCTCTCTCCCTCTCCTTCTCACCCTCTTCCTCTCTCTCCCCCTCTTCCTCTCTCTCCCTCCCTTCCTCTCTCTCCCTCCCTTCCTCCCTCTCCCTCCCTCTCTTCCTCCCTCCCTCCTTCCCTCCCTCCCTCCCTCTTTCCGTCTCTCTCTCTCTCTCTCTCTCTCTCTCTCTCTCTCTCTCTCTCTCTCTCTCTCTCTCTCTCTCTCTCTCTCTCTCTCTCTCCCCCCCCCCTCCCTCTCTCCCTCTCCTTCTCACCCTCTTCCTCTCTCTCCCCCTCTTCCTCTCTCTCCCTCCCTTCCTCTCTCTCCCTCCCTTCCTTCGCTCTCCCTCCCTCCCTTCCTCTCTCTCCTCCCTCTCTCCTCCCTCCCTCTCCTCCCTCTCCCTCCCTCCCTTCCTCCCTCCCTCCCTCTCCCTCCCTCTCCCTCCCTCCCTCTCCCTCCCTCCCTCTCCCACCCTCTCCCTCCCTCCCTCTCCCTCCCCCTCCCCCCTCCCTCCCTCCCTCCTCCCTCCCTCCCTCTCTCTCCTCTCTCTCTCTCTCTCTCTCTCTCTCTCTCTCTCTCTCTCTCTCTCTCTCTCTCTCTATTTAAAGATATTTCCTGTAGTAATAATTATTATATATGTACCTGGAATTTTCATCATCAGGTTTTGGTTTTCTCGAGCCATTGAGAGTTATCTCCGCAGTGCCAACCCCTATGCAGATCAAGTGTTTCTTCTCCGCAGAGGCTTATTGAAGGTGAGTTGAAGTTAATTTTTGATGGCTAAAGTGTAAAATTTCTGAAATGGATGTGTAATTTTATGTGCATATTTTACCTGAATTTTATATAAATTAAATAAGGCTATAAAGATTTATAATGTATACATATATGTATTCATACACACATCCTTATACATATCTATACATCTCTCTCTCTCTCTCTCTCTCTCTCTCTCTCT